TCCTAAAATTGAATTTGTATCAAATGAAACTTTTTGTTGGATAAAATATCAGTCCTTTCAATCCCAAAGAGATTGACCACCAACAAAGAACTAAAAGCACCTTGCGGTTGTTTTCATTAGGAGAATTTAATGCATTTTGCCCGTGTTTTACGATAGGTGAGAAGATGACAGAGGAAGAGGTGGAGACGCTCTTGGCAGGACATGAGGATGCTAATGGGTGCATCAATTATGAAGGTACAACAATCACATATGGGCCTTTTTTCTTCTCTGAACATCAAGACTACAGTAGAAGTTTTGAAGTCCGTATGTAATCCATTTGCATTTCCTTCCGACAGCATTTGTGCGCCACATTATGGCTGGTTGAGGAGAGGGTACGGATGGTCCTCAGTTAGTTTTTACTCATTCTTGTCTCCTTCAGCTCCCTCTCTACTGCGTCCCCTGGCTGTAGCGTAGCATGTAGCATTTCTGCATGTGCATAGGCGTCTCCTGAATCCCACTGTTGCCATGATGATGCTAAATTTGCTGGTCACCCTGATGCCAACTTCCCCCGAAACAACCCATTACCCTTTATTCTAAAATACAGTGTTATAACTTCAATATTGTATATTCTCATCCCTTTTGCTTGCATTAGTTCTAATAGGCCACATACACACTGCAGCAAAAAACAGTTATCAATCCACTTAATATGCTCTGTACAAAGCTCTTGGTCATTTACGTGAATAACTAATTCATTTCTGTTTTTAAATGTGATAGTCACTTCTAAATCTCTGCAGTGTGAATGCAGCCACAGAATATATGGCAGCTGATGGTATTGTGAAAGAAAAAATACTGTTAGCATCATATTAAAGGTTAAAATGGTGCTAGTGTAGTAGATTCAGGCTTAATAGTTAAAAAGAAAAAAAATTTGATTTTAGTCAATTTCTCAATTTGAGAATCAATCTTTTAGTCAATGCTGTTTTTAGTTGATGTGTGAACATATCATCTACTGTGGAAAGATATCAATAAAACAGCTTGTAAACAATATGTAATGTAATGTTACATTTATCTTTGAAAAGCCATTCGACCATTGATCAAGCTATTGACCTTTAATAGTAATGTACCAACTGACAGGCTTCCCTGTATAGCTTACAGCATTAGTTATGAGAGGTTTTTTTTCTTGAGGAAAAGTTGACATTCACTGTACCTGATATACCCAAATGAATCAACATCAAATTGAATTTATTCAAAACTGTTATTAAATCAAATTGTAAGCTTGTGAGTCATAATCGTAATCAAATCGTGGAAATTGTGGTAACACCCGGCCCTATCTTTTATTTTTGAAATTCTGCTGTTACCTTAGGAGGCTTTGTAAAGAGGTGTATTGTTAATTCTAGTTTCCAGTCCTGTCACATTGCTGTTCCTGCTTTCTATCTCTTTTGTACTTGTGTATTTATTTGTTCTCCACATGCCTATGTAAGGTATGCTAACTCATTCAAATTTCCTTTAGGCCTGGATAATCTCTTTTTCCTCCCCTTTTCTTTCAAATCATCCCAGGGCTTCTGCATTTCACCTCCTGTTGTTGCCAGGAAATGTTACTGAACTACAAATGCAGTCTGTTATTTTAGTGCGATCTGTGGCTGTTTGTGGATCTGGAACTTCTATAACTTAATGTGTTGTGTCCATAGCAACATTTGCTGATCTACTGGGTCGAATTTTCTTGAATCACTGCCTCGTACTACTTTTTTTTTTCTCTCTTTTACAGAACTCGTAAGGATGGTCATGAGCGGCTGAAGAATTCAAACACGTTTTTTTGTCCGTCAGGCCCCCATTTATGTGATTCTTCATTTCCATATTAGCTTTTTTAATTATTTAATCTTTTTTTTCCCTTAAGTGCCTTTTATCATGTTTTTGGAGAATTATTGCTCAATTCATTCCAAAAACTTCCACTGGTGTTCATAGGTTTGCTTGAATACCTTTCAGCCATTACATTCATTCCATAAATTATTGTATTCAGCCCCTATTCGTCTTAAACTGTGAGGGACATTTTGATTGGCTCTTACTGTAGTTTTATTATTTTTATTAACCTATTGTCTAAATGTTTGTAAGTCATTTGACATCCCTCTTTATTGTCTGCTGTGCATCATAATAAATATTCAGAATGATCTTTGATTTTGTTGATTTGTCTTTATGTCAGAGCTGTGAGTGTGGGTGTATGTGTGGGAGAGTATGGGTTGCCTTGTAGGGCATTGTTCTACCAACCATTTCCATTTTAGTATAGTTAACTCTCTCCCAATAAACATAATACAAGACCATACCAATTTAGGAGTATGTGAAGGTGCTTGAATGTGTTGGCTGGGGAACCTGGTGCTGCCAATATGTTTTAGCGGTCCCGAGTTTACCTTATAAGACAAGTGGACTCGCTAAAAAAACCTAAAGAAAAGGACTGTTTAGACTTCAGTGGTATGTATAATAACACCTTGTGATTCTAACAATATAGTCATCTGTCGTTATTGTTTAGACCTGTTCATACCAAACCATATAATGATAATATGGAAGCCTGTTTCAGCCACAACTCAGAATTCTGACATTTTCTCGCAATTCTAAATTTACATGTAACAATTCTTAGTTTTTACACAATTTAATTCTGATATTTTCCCACAGAATTTAGAGTTTACATCTCACAATTCTGACTTGTTTCTCACAAATGCGAGTTTATATCTTGCAATTCTGAGAAAAAAGTCAGATATGTGAGATAAAAGGTTGATAAACCATGATGATTGATGATAGATGATAAAATCATTGACAGCCAATCAGAACGATCTTGAGCCTTTAAAGCAGCAGTTGAAACTGCAAATAATAACTTTTAACATGTGCTAGTGTGGATGCAAATATAGTTTTATCATGTGCTGGTGTGGATGCTAATATAGTATATCTTTATAGGTATTGCTCTTCGTATATACAGTGGTGGCCAAAATTATTAGAACACTTGGCATATTTAAGAGGTTTGAGTTGTTTTTGTTGAATTGGCCATTACAATAGCCATAAAACAAACTATTACCGGAACTATCTGCAATGGAAGGAATCTGCTGGAACATAGAAAATGATGGACAGTCCCCCTCAAAATTCGGACCTCAACCCCATCGAGCAAATTTGAGGCGAATTGGAAAATAAACTGGGCAGATCTATTGTACATTCAAAGGAAAGCCTTTGGCTTGAGTTGCAGAAGGCATGGGATAACATTAGTGTTGAAGTTCTCAGGAAATATATTGACACTATGCCAGAGAGATGTGCTGCTGTAATTGCTGCAAAAGGTGGACATACCAAATAATATTAAAGTTAAAAGTGGATAAAAACAGTATGACTCACTTTATCTGTTATTTGTTGTGCTCAGAGTAACCATCTGCATGTTTCATGAACATTATGAAATAAATTTTTTTTTTTTTAAGTCTGAAAGATAAGTATTGCCAATGATAATACTGATTAAGATGTTATTTGCTGATAATTCTGCTTTCTGCCCTAGAATTATTTTCCTTCCAAGTTTAAATTGGGCACATTCATGATAAACTTGAGAGCTTCTTTTTGTACAACTGAAATATTTTTTCAAATTTCTAGCATGATAAATCAGCAATTTTAATCAGCAATATAAGATAAGGCTTATATTCTGAGAACTCTTCACACAGCTCGTATCACTGATGATGTCTTTTATTGTGCAGAACCATTCAGTATTTTTGAAACCAAAATCGATCCATTCATATTCAAACAGGTGCTAGACAGCTCCTGCTACATCTCCTCAAAGGACGAACTGAACATCTCCAAACATTCACACACATCTCAATGCAATGGTTACCAGCTTTCACCATAAAAAAAAAAGTATAAACAAAACGTAAAAATAAAAAAAAACACAACTACTTGTACCACTACAATGTAAAAGACAAAGACCAAAGAGCTGAGCAAACTGATCGAATTACATTTTCAACACTGGTTATGAGTCGTGCAAAACTGTGAGGTTGATGTGAATCTGTTCTGTCAGTAATACTGCATGTTGGACTACTGCATACGTGTGCATTCACATATACAGTATGTGTGAGGATGTAAACTGCAGGACTATCACAGCGGGAGTGTATGAGTTTGTCGATTCTGATATTGGCAGATTTTACATCCATCACTACTAGCATGAGTAGTCTGGAAACATGGCAAATTAATGTAGATTAAAATAAAAATCATACATATGTACATACAAAAAGATGTGTGGCAAATCAAAGAGTGCATGCACACCACACACACACACACACACACACACACAAAGAGTTCAGCTTCATCGTATAAAACGACTGACACTTTCACATGAACATGTCAATAATACGACAACATCCACAGTCAGAAAGAGAAGGAAACATTACAGACATGTATAATATGATAACAGCATTACATCATTTGTAATAGTGTAAAGAAACATATAAAAATACAAAAATAGGACAGTTACAATATGAAGATATGAGATACACAGACCACAGCTGCAAACGTAACTTTAAAATCCCTTGTCTCTACTCAGGTAGTTGCCACTAATTTGTAAAACAAAAAGTTTTTTCTTCATGTTGTAAATACTTTCTGTGGGTTTGGCCTGTTACTAAAACACCTGTATACACACACACACACACACACACAGAACACATTCTTTAACCCTTGTGTGTCCTTAAAGACATTTTATTCTTTAATGTGATTTTTTTTTATCATTTTGGCTGTGTTAATGCAAACAGCATAAATGTTGAAATGTGTAAAAAATTTGTATTTTTATTGGAATTGTAATATTTTACTCTAGGGATATACATTAGTTACACTCAAGACCTAAAGGACATAAATGTCCCCACTGAAACCCATTAAAACAGCAATATTTAATCCCAGTGCCATTAAGCATAACATTCTGGATTGAATTTTATTTCATTTTAGTTAAGGTTTATTTTATTTCAACTGATGAAAACATCTTTCAAATGATTTTAGTTTTAGTGAACATAACAACCCTGATCCAATACTGTAATAATCAATATCATATGCTTAGTATAATATATATTTTTCTCATGAACACCAGTGGCATTATGTAAACATTACTAGCATTCTAAGAGTTAAAATCCTGAAAATGACTACATTTTTGGTAGTTATGATCAGGACAGATGCTGGAAAATGATCAATGTCAGTGAAAGCAGAACAAATATTACTATATAATATTTTTATGATCGTTTTTAACAAGGACATTTTTGTCCCCTGAGGACCTCTGTGTAGCTTTTTAAAATTGACACACAAGGGTTAACAATCAGAACTGAAACATCAGTTCTGGCATGAACACTGATTACTAAAATGTGCGATATGATCTTTCTAAAATGATTGATTCAACCCTATTTGAGTTAAGGAACCAATATGATTCCTTGCTGCGCTTCCCATTCTTTTTTCATTGTTGATTAATCATACACTCCAATATTTCAGTTTTCTCATAAGCATTGCAATGAGATGAGAATGAAATAACTACTTTCACCTGTTAGAAATGTATAGTAACTTATGATATTTTGTGGCAATGACGTGCACACAGATTTCCAGGTTTACAGTACATGTTGTCAGAGACAAAGTAAACAGATTTAATACAATTTTGTTGTCTCTTTTTTATCATGCTAAAATCTAATTGTACATAAAAACAGGCCAAACCACTGAAGCTTTCACACTGTCCCAAAAGCAAAACCGACATTCACACGCACGCATACAAAGTAACGATAACAAAGTCAAGTTTCTCTTCGGACTTACTCCAAATCGAGTGCTTCTATGAAACAAATACAAAGATTAAGTGATAAAAAGAATGTTGTTAAAAGAAAACATTAAGTCAGGGCTAATTTTGACTTTATGCTTCATCCCTCCGAAAAGTAAGATTCAGGAAACATTCTAAAAGTGCAATTTGTATGTTTGTTTCCATTTGAGTACCTAAAGTACATTGAGATGCTTCTGGAGTGCAGATCACAGGTATCCTGGATCCTGTGGTTCGGCTCAAAGTTAAGTGATGTTACTGAAAATGGAGGACGGACAAGGGTATACTGAGCCTTGTGCCTGGTACTTGGATGCAGGCTGTTTGGGTCAAGATTGCTTTTGTTGGGTATTAACAGGGATTTGGATTTAAGACCTTTCCAAAAGTCCAAACCTAAGGTCTTTTTTTCTGTTTTATATGTCAGTCAGTTTAAAGGTTATCTGTGTTTAGCTTTAGCTATTTATTTTGAATCATGTCATGTTCAAGATACTGGCAAGAATTCATTTATATCATTTTCTCCCAAAAATGATGCAAGTGACAAAAACGAAGATATCGCTCCCTTTATCTCTGTATCTTTTGCTTTCTATCTAATCTCCTTCATTTTCTTCTCTGGAATCATTGATCCCCTTTAAATCTCACCATTTCTTTTACTGTGTTGGAGGCACAGGGGCGTTTGGATAGAGCGAATCCCCTGGTAGTTGAGTGCTGGATTCTGGAGCAAAAAAGATCAACCAAAAAAAATCTATTAGACAATTATACAATAGTTACATTACAAGTTAATATAAATACAAATAATATAAAATATTAATAAAAAAACTGTTGTGAGTCTGATTTTAGTAAACATTTCTAAACCAAAATACAATTTTTGAGCTATCACACTGAACTGTGACCAAATTTCGGATTTCATGATGATCATTCAGTAACTATTTAAATTGAATCACTGTAAGAGCAAATAGCCTACCTTTCAAAAGATTTTCAGTAAGTAATATTTTTGAAAGAAATTAATACTTTAACTCAGCAAGTAAAAAGAGTTTTACAGTGTCACAGAAAAGTTCTAATTTAAATAAATGCTATTCTTTTGAACTTTATTTTCATCAAAGAATCCTGAAAAAAAGTATCACAATTTCCACAAATTATTAAGCAGCCCAACTGTTTTCAACATTGATAATCAGCACCAAACAAGCATAATAAAATTATTTCTGAAGGATCATGTGACACTGAAGACTGGAGTAATGATTGATGAAAATTCAGCTTTGCTATTACTGGAATAAATTACATTAAAAAGAGAAACAATATACAGAGCTGGGTAGATTATTTACAAAATGTAATCAGTTACTGATTCCAAATTACATGACAAAAATTGTAGTTAGTAACGTAATCCAATACATTACACATTTTAGGTAATATAATCAGACTATTTTTTTTTTATTACTGTTAGATTACTTTTGACCTAATTTATTTATCACATTGATTTAAATCGGATAATCTTGCACCACACTGATATAAAAATGCAAAGAAAAGTGTATTAAGCATTACATTATGTCAAAGTTACCCAAACTGGGGTTCGTAAAGGAACTGTACCTACTGGACAGGTACTTAGTGTGTTTACATGTCATTACCATGCGCTGATCCAGTCTGTGCGTTGGTGGGGGGAGAACTGTGAGATGCAGGTGGTGGAGCTTCACTGTGGGCATTAGGGGTGCTCACGGAGGCGGAGCTTTGTGTTGTGGGCGGGGCAGAGGCGTTAGTGACAGGCTGGTGGGGTACAGATGGAGTACTGCCAGACTGATTGGCAGGCTGGTTGCTCTGGTGCTGGTGTTGGATCTGCTGGAAGTGTTGCTGTCGGGCTCTCATCTCTGCATACTTCAACTGCTCCATATGAAACGACTGACGATCAGCAAGAAGCTGCTGCCTCTGATACTCCAGCTACAAACACAATATACATGTATGCAGATTAATTTTCAGTTAAAGGAACAGTTTCCCTAAAAATATATATTACGATTTTCAGTGAATAATGACTTTGATTTCTGTCTGTTCCTCATAAAATATCATATTGATTTTGGATGTGCAAAAAAATCTACGTAATCAGCGTAAACAATTACATTCATGCATAAACAATGCGCACGCTTTATCCTGAACGTAAACAATGCTGATTACGTTGATTACGTTCTGGGGTACTCTCCAAAATGGTGGAAGACGATAACTAATTATGTTGTTATTGTTTTCTTTGCGAACAAAAAGTATTATCTTAGCTTCGTAAAATTACGGTTGAACTACTGATGTCACATGAACTATTTTACCGATGTCCTTGCTACGTTTCTGGGCTTGGGAACATAGCAGTTGCATTGCTGTCAACGGAGGGTCAGAGAGCTCTTGGATTTGATCAAAAATATCTCAATTTGTGTTCCGAAGATGAACGGAGGTCTTACGGGTTTGGAACGACACGAGGATGAGTAATTAATGGCAGAATTTTCATTTTTTCATTTTTCACTAACCCTTTAATATTTTTTTCTTATTTTTTGTAAAAAAATCATGAAAACAAGATTCATTTTATTTAAAAATGAAAATAAAGTTCAAATATAAATCTATAAATATTTTAAAATAGAGGTTAATGCTTAAAAAGTGTAAAATACAAATAAATGTAATTCTTTATCAATTATTAGATAACAAATACTAAAGTATTCTAATTCTTGTTTTAAGAATGTTTCAACTTTTACTGGAAATATTTTAAGAAAATTATTTTTTTCAAGTGCATGATAGAAATAAAATCATACAGGTTTTGATCGAAATTATTGTGAATTGTTCTTTTAGGCAACAGATTGATTTAAAATAGTTTTAATAGTTAAAAGTGTTGCCTTACTGCCTCTCTCTCTCTGTCCATGATGGTTTCCAGCTCTTCAAAGTGTCTGAGTTTGATCTCCAGTTTCTTCATCTGGGTCTCTACCAGCAGAGCCACCAGAGACTTGATCTTCCTTTCCTCTACTGCTGCCAAGTGCTAAAAGGAAAGAATACAGCGTTCAGTGTTTAATTTGCAGGAAAGTGGTTTGTTTTCTCACCATGATGTCACCTTTTCACACACCTTAGCTTTCACGGCAGCAGCAGCGAGCGCAGAAGCAGCGGCAGTGGCCAAGTTTCCCTCTCCTACATCTCTCTCCACCTTTGCTTTCTTCTCTCCCTCACTCTCTCCATCCCTCTGAACCTCTTCTAATCCCTCCTTCCGTTCTTTCTCCTTCTCGCCATCGGCTGCAGAGATCGCAAAGAGTTCAAGTAAGTAATTTTACCTCTGCATTTTGTAACTTTTAACTGCTTATGAAAATAACACACATAGTGGCAGATGTTTTTTTGTACTGCAGTTTCACAAATAATGCATTAGTATATCTTTGCATTTAAAATTATAAAATAAATAATAATAATAAAAGTAATATATTGTTTTAGATTTTTATGTAACACATGAATTTTATTGCTGTAACACACCCATTTCTGAGTCTGTTTTCTCCGTCTCTTTCTCTGTCTCCCCTTCTCTCACTCTCTCTTCCTCTTTCTTGCCGTTCTCTCCTTGTTTTTCTTCCTCCTCAATGGCTCCATCTTTGCTCTCCTGAAATTTCACAGAAATAGGAGTTTTGCATGTGTTAATATTAGTAAAATATCATAAATCTCCTCAAAATATTAAACAGCACAACTGTTTTCAACATTTATAATAATAAGAAATGTTTCCTAGACACCAAATCAGCATATTACAATGATTTCTGAAGGATCATGTGATACTGAAGACTGTAGTAAATGGCTGCTGTAATGTTTAAAATTGTAATAATATTTAACGATATTACTGATTTTACTGTATTTTTATCAAATAAATGCAGCCTTCTTCCAAAAACATTTGAACATCCAACCACATCTTTTCAATGGTAGTATATGTAATGTATACAATATCCTAAAACATTCTATTTACTTCTCGGTTTTAAGATTATAATTCCATATTTTCAATGCAATCTAGACTTTTGGAGTCCACTATATAGGCTATGTTTTATTTGTTTTGCGTAGTTACCTTATTGTCTCTTTTATCTTGGCTAGATTGACCATCACTGCTCTTATTCTCTTCACTTCCATCCTCAGCTGAAAACAAACATACACAGTTATTTCCTTTCTCACTATGCACCAAAAAGCATCAAACAAGTAAAAATGTTTGTTCACTTACAGGGTTTGTCAGCATCTTCAAGGCCGGTTCCTGCGATGCCGCTGCCCTCCAGGCCATAGAGAGGGTCTGGTCTCCCACTTGCTCTGGCCGCCTCCTCCACTCGACGCACATGAGCCTCCACCAACGCAGCCGGGACCTCCTCCTTCATTCGAGAAAACTCCTCTGAGAAAGAAAAGAAATATGTTAATGTCAAAAATGTCATTTTTGGAGATTGACAGCCTCCATTTCTTACTCACAATTGTTGTAAAAAGAAGAACATTTCATACAGGTACAGTCATTTTGAGAGTAATTAGATGCTGACATTTATTTGTGTGTGAACTATCATTTTTAATATCGTAACTTCTCACCAAGTGCAGATTTTGCTGCAGCGGAAGCCACTCGAGGGTCAACCACAGAGGCCAGGAATGCCACAGTACTCATGACAGGATTCCCCGCCTGACTGAATGGAATTGGCTGATGGGCCAGCGGGCCCAGGGAGGAAGAGCTGTCCTCCAGGTAGGGGTCTTCGATTGGTAGACGCAGGAAGTGGAGGATGCATTCATCCTGGGTGCGGCTTCCCACGTGCTCCGATACTTTATTCCAGTCATCTTTATACATTTCTAGACCCTGAGAACAAATAGGAATCGTTAAGTCAAGTTTACATTACTGTTCAAAAGTTTGAAGTCAGTAAGACTTTTTTTTAATTACTACTTTTCAGGGATTAAACGGATAAAAAAGTGACAATAAAGACTTGTTACATTGTTATTATATTTCATAAAATTCTAATTCAAAACTTTCTATTTATCAAAGAATCCTAAAAAATGTTTCCACAAAAATACTAATCTGTTGTAAACTATAATAACTATAAATAAATGTTTCTTAAGCACCAAATCAGCATATTAAAATGATTTCTGAAGAATCATGTGACACTGAAGACTGAGTAATGGCTGCTGAAATGTAGCTTTGCCATCACAGGAAAAAATTACATTTTAAAATATAATAACACAGAAACATTATTTTAATTTGTAATATTACAGTTTTACTGTATTTTTGATCAAATTATTGTAGCGTTAGTGAGCATAAAATACCTCTTTCAAAAAAACAACCCCAAACTTTTGAAAAGTAGTGTAAATCATATTTAAAAATTGTAACAAATAAAAAAAAATGCAAAACTAATTTTATATGTATATATTACCTCTAGCAGTAGCAGCGTCTCCTGGTCTGTCCATTCCCGAGTGGCACTGGCAGCATTTTTAGTCTGTGGAAAGACACAAGAAAGTCCTTAATTTCTCTCATAGTGCTTAGAATCATCTTCATACTTCATATTTCAAAATATTATCATATTCTCTCTGCCCTATATGTGATCAAGCTCTTACTTTAGCTGGGCCGCTCTTCTTACTGTACACATCTGTCCTCAACCCAAAGTTCTGCAAGTCAGCTGGTTTGTCCTTTACTTTGTCTGGGAATGACAGCATCTGTTGAGAGGATGAAGTCTAGAGGGAAGAACAACAAAGAGCTTAGATAACCAATGAACCAATGAACCAATGAAATTTTATTAACTCAGAACGCCATGAACTGAAATTTACTCAGAAAAAAAAATCACGGCTGTCAATGAAATTAAATGTTTCATTTAGCTTTTTTCCTAGTTAATATGTTAATGCCTTCGGCTGCTCTTGAAAGTATTGAGTTTGAAAATCTGTGTGATCACACCTGTGGCAGGAATAGATGCACTTTACCTGGGATGCTTTAGGCTGTAGTGGTACCAGACTTGATGGAGTATCTGCCAGCACATGAAAGTGTGAGGTGGGTGGAGGCCCCATGGGAGTGGGCCGACTCTCTGAATCCACCTGATAGTTAATCAAGCCCCACTGTTCCAGGAATGCATGGACCCTTCTCACACACATAAAATTTCAAACTCAAAATGCATCAAAGTTGAAAAGACATATATAACATAAACATACAGGCATTTTTGTTTTCCCCAGACCTCATAATGGCACAAACATCTCCAGCCAGGTTCCTACGGCAGGCTGTGGAGGTCAAATACTCCTGTGGGTTCAGTCTGTATGTGTCGATCATGAAGTTACGGTATGCCAGATAACTGTAACACAGCAAAGTGTAAAAAGAAGAAGAAACAGGGTTAATAAAGCTGATCACTGAAGGTCAGAAGTCATATTTAAATTCAAATCAGTCTTTGTGTGAATGTTCACCAACAGATATTCTTACATTTCAGGAGTCTTTGACTTGTTTTTCCCATTGAAAAACTCAGGTAGTGCCCTGCGCTCTATAGCATGGACACTAAGAGAGACAGAAACAGACTGTTGTGACTCTAGATTTTTCTCTCATGAGAAAACATTCACTTCCAATTTAAATGGTTGACTCTTGATCAGAATAAGTTTTAAAGTTGTGTGTAGTCACAGTACCTGTTATAGTCAAACCAAGCAGCATAGCTAGGGATAATGATATGATGGGTCTGTTCAGTGACATTATCCTCATGAAGGTCCGAACCCTTCACCGGTTCTCCTTTCACACTCAGAGAACCTTCTTCTTCTTCCTAGAAACACACAAACACATAGCTTTTTAGTATATATGTACAGTGGGGCAAAAAAGTATTTAGTCAGCCACCAATTGTGCAAGTTCTCCCACTTAAAAAGATGAGAGAGGCCTGTAATTTTCATCATAGGTATACCTCAACTATGAGAGAAAAAAGGAGAAAAAAAAATCCAGAAAATCACATTGTAGGATTTTTAAAGAATTTATTTGCAAATTATGGTGGAAAATAAGTATTTGGTCAATAACAAAATTTCATCTCAATACTTTGTTATATACACTTTGTTGGCAATGACAGAGGTCAAACATTTTCTGTAAGTCTTCACAAGGTTTTCACACACAGTTGCTGGTATTTTGGCCCATTCCTCAAGAGCAGTAATGTTTTGGGGCTGTCACTGGGCAACACGGATTTTCAACTCCCTCCAAAGATTTTCTAGGGGGTTGAGATCGGGAGACATATATGTATATTTATCAATTTAAATATTGAAAATATTGTACTATTTTAAGGTCACCAATCAAATCATGGCATTATATCATGAGTTAATGCAACTTGAGATACAAAAAAATGTATAAACATTTTTTAAAATTCATATTTTCTTTCCCAATTTTTAAGATACTATAATTTGTGTAAAAATTAAAAATAATAAAAAATGGTTGATAATTAATTAATTAAATAATAATAAATGAACACATGTATCTTAATGTATTATTTAAATTAATGTAAATACATTAAAATCTCATTAAATTAAAATTAGAAGCATGATTATTATTTGGTCTCAAATCCAGCAGCATATATAAAACTAAACATACAGAAATGTGAAACTTGTGAGGTGAAATACTGTGAAATGTGGTTTGTATAATTGCTGCTATACCTTCCCTACAGTCTCCATTGATTCATCCTCTTGCTCATCTAGGAGTGAAAGCAGAAAAAACAGAAGTCATTTTGCACATATACTTATGCTTTATGGTAAAAGGAAAAAAACTGTGTTAATTAGCACAGAAAGATGAAGTATGTGCTTTTTATGTTAAAATACTTCCTCCTATCGCTGCTCTTCTGTGCACAGACAGCTGTAAGTACCCGTTCATAGGCTGATATCCCTGTTTGGTGACATCCTCTGTTTTTGCAATTCCACTTAATGCCATTAATTGCACAGAAAAGCACACACTTCACCTTTCGGTTAGTTTGAGTGGCAGGTGTGTTAGAGACAGATGCTACTGTAGACACATACCCAGGTCAGTCATAGTGCCTCCTTTCACTGGAGTAGAATCTGAGTCCTTCTTAGTCACTACACACACAAATATCAAGATTACACACAATCTAGACTAACTCGTTAGGAAAAACCAATGTGTGTGAATGTACCTGTTTTAGGTAGTGTTGCTTCCTCCACTGCAGGCACAGGTGAGGGTTCATCTAAATCTTTTGTCAAATCTTCCTGTTCTTCCTCTCTCTGTCCTCGTTTGGACTTAGTGTAGGGAGTAGTGGGCCTGAAAACACACAGAGGTCCATACAAAGACACAGAATGAGGTTCACATTTAAAATTTAAAAATAAAAATATTTTCATAAATTCTTTAAAACAAATGCCACTGTTTCCAGTAATAAAAATACCCTTTCTTGGTGTTTTTCTTCTTGCTCTCTTGTGGTGGAGGGGTAGGAGATGGAGACGGGGAACGCTTCCTTTTTTTGGCACTGCTGGGTTTTTTATCCTTCCTTTCATCTGGAGCGCTCACTTCATCTGTGAGAGTCTTTGCTGAAATTCTCTTCCTCCTCGGTAATCCTTCTCCTACCTCATAGTCTTCCTCATTCATCCACTCGTTAAACTGATCTAGGTCCAGAATCCACTTGGCATGGACCTACACATACAAACACTTACAGTCAGGTGATAAATGGATGAATTTCTCAGATAACCATTTGCTAATTAATTAAAAAAATAATAATAATATTGTAAAAAAAAAAAAAAAAAACCTAAAAGACAGAGAGAGCATGTGCAAGACAAAAGAGACAAAGAAGAAGAGAGGTAAAGGCTCGGAGACAGATGGAGAGAGGTAAGGGGGGGTTTCTAACCTTCCTGGGTTTCTCAGCAGTGGGCGGATCCTCCACAGCAGCCTCCACCTCACTGGCTGAGATCCATGTGTCATAACTGCATCATGAACACAACACATTAATCCTGCATTCACATACACACCTGAACTCTGTGTGTTTGTGTATGTGTGTGTGCGAGCTCACCTATCAGGCCAGTAGCCCCAGTGTAGCAGCATCTGTTTGTCTCTCTTCATTACAGGACGAACCCACTCTTCTGAAAAGCACACACATACCAGTTAAAATATTACTACTGAAAACCATTTTCTTTTTTATCTGAGGAACACAATTTTTACCTTTGTGTTTAGTCCTCTTGTATCCTACCCGTGTATGTGAATATATTTTTACACTACGAAAAACACAACAGAACGTACCGTCCTCTAGACTAGCAGGAATAGGCACCACTACATGAGAGCTGGACAGCTTATCTTCAGTCACAGTCCCCTACAAACACACATACATTTCTTGATCCTGAGTGACTTCAAAGAAAAATGGTATTACATACAAAACTGAGTGATATATAAAATATTTAATACATTTTTCCCCCTTATGTCAATTTTTAAAAATGCAATGATTCTGATGGCAAAAAAAATTAAACAACACTGTAAATAAAACTAGGATTGTTTTAAATCGGCCAGCTACTGCTTGTCAGTAGTAGAAACTATTTTGTAACTTATATTTGTATAATAAATGAATAAATATTTAAATAAATAACTCTCTCTCTCTCTCTCTCTCTCGCTATATAAATATATATATATATATATATATATATATGTACTAACTATGTAGTAACCTATGTACTAACTAAAAACAAATAGTTTTGGGAAGAACCTGGTGTCGTTTGATGATGTCCTTCAGTTTTCCCAGTAGCTTGGGCTCTATCTCTGAACTCAGGTAAATCACAGGTCGGGACAAACAGTTATTCTACAAAGAGAAAAACACATCATTATTCAATATTTCTCCTCACACATTTACATACTAATACATACCAACCATATCATGACCACAAGTGATGTTCATCTGACTGGATAACTGTGTGTGTGCATGAAATTGTGTGTTTGATACACACCTGTACCAAAGACTTTTCTATAGTCAAGAACATTTCAACATTGCGGTCCATTCTCGAAGGATTCTGGAAGTCAAATCTCCTCCTGATGGATACAGAAGTGAACAACTAATGAGTATTAATTAGATTTTTGGTCTGTAATCACCGAATGAGCACATCACTGCTAAAATCAAAGATCTGATACACTAACTGAAAGTTCAAATGTAGCAAAAATGTCATGCAGAATGTATTCAGGAGCATGAGGACCAATTCACACCATGAGGGAGGCGAATCACGACTCTTCTGGCAAGTGTGTCATCAGGTTAAGTGTCAGAGTAATTATACAACAGCTGATTAGGCCACTCAAATAAATGGCAAACGCACATATTAAATGAACAGATACTTAAATAGACCACATGATGAAATAATATTTTTTACAGTTTTTCTAGGATATTTTTGTTAACATTTTTCATGAATTTAGAGTAATAGCCTACTCACAGAACATATTTTTTTCACAAATGCATTACAGACATAACAGTATAACATTATGTAAAGCTGCTTTGAAACTATGTGTATTGTAAAAAGCACTATACAAATCAATTTAACTTGATATAAAAAACAAATATATATTTTTGTTTAATTTACTTGATAGATCTATCTATCTATCTATCGATACATACATACATACATATAAAACAAATTACAAATTGTATATTGTAGTATATAAAAAAATATTGTTATTTTTATTCTATTTCATTTAAATCAAATTACATTTATAGAATGTATGTATTTGTAGTGGTAATTAAATAATAAAGAGAGGTGAAAGAGGGTAAGAGAGGACCATTACCATCCTTGATCACTCTTGAACTTGTAGGCAGCAGCCAGAATATGACACAGAGCTCCTCCAGATTTGAAATCCAAAAAACACTTCATCTAAGGGTGAGAGGAGAGCTTCATCAGCACTCTACAATGCTGATCACTTTAATGCACTTGATTCAATATTATTACGAAATAAGTCTTGTGTGAATACCGGTAGTTTAGTGAGGGGAGGGTTGCTGACATGCCGGCCAAACACTTCCTCCTGAAACTGAAGCAGCTGAACCACCAGACTTGACAAAGATTTATTGGTAGGGGGCTCTGCTTGAATATACTAGAAAGAAACAGAAAGTTTTAGACGTTGAAAACCATAATAAAAGGGACACACACACACACACACACACACACATATATATATATAATGCATCATGCTGGCAGATTAATCAGTCAATAATTGGCCATTCTGATACTATTAATAAGTATAGATTTTTTGTAAACTGTGTGACCATTGCAATCATTAAATTGCATTACATATACAGTGTAAATATAAGTGTTAAATTCATCTTAATTCCGCAAAATTTAATGTTGATAATATATGAAATTAGAAAAATGCAAACGCAAAAAAGATTTTACCAGGCAATTGATCCAAAACATTTCATAGGCCATAGTATCGCTCAACCACTAATAGGGACATGCTTGCTACATCTACATCACGTGACATTTTAAAAGCTTAAATCAGTTCTTTTAAATGACATAAAAGTGAAACAAGGAAGGCTGTAGCCAACAGCTTCAGTCCTGTGTTTGTCATGACAGCACATATATTTTATAATTTAGATAAATATTTTTATTTCTAGTTTCAGTTTTCATTCATTCATTTAATGTTTCAATATTCATAACCTTTAATTTGTATATTATTTATGCAATGGGAATTCCATAAATGTAAAAACATACGTTTATTAAAATTAGGATGGTTTTGAACTACATTACATTAAAACAGGTTTTATATGTAAGGAATTTCTTTCTTTACATCAGATACGAAACACCTTGACTAGTTCATGCATATGCTAATAGAGGTGTTTCATTAGCGGGAAATTAGACTTTGTTGCAGGCTATAGCCGGCTCCCACACATTGTTTCAGTGTATCATGTACTTCCCATGGGTAAATTGTTGCAACTGAAAAGAGAAAAAATATTCTTCACATCCGACTGTGAATTTGTCATCGTCTGTAACACATGGCTGTTTTTACATACACGGGGCGCGAGGCGGATTTGGCTGCACATCTGGATACACGCACTTGCGCTGCCAGTACCGCAGCCCCGTTACACGAGCTGGCCTTTCCTTGTATGAAAGAGAAAGGCCATTCATAAAAACCTATTAGATAAGGTCAAATTACTATCCAGAGATGTGGAAATGACACCAGATATTATAGATAAAGCCAATTCTTGGGTACGTCTTAAGACTTTTCTCAAGACGCGCATCCAGCATCTTCTATTGTCTGAGACGCGTCAGACTGGACTTTAAACAGCTGGATTTCTCCCCATCTCCTTTCTGCCTACCCGCCTCGAGTCTGCCCTTTCCTGCATATATATCACAATGACCGTCCGCGTTGGTTACAAAAAAACGAATGGTACCTTTTTATAATTCTTGCCCAGCCAAACCCGGACATTGTCGAACTGCGAGACAGTATCAGACGCTTCGAAATATTTTACATTCGGGCCGCCGTCTTTCTTCCGTACCGCCATCTTTGTCTGCTCGAAAGATTTGCCACCCACCGCCCCCTGGCGTTCATTTGTTTTTACTATAAAAGTCGAAAGTAATAGTCGATGGATATGAAACGACCTCCATTCTGGCTCAAATTATAGGCTTGCGCTTCCATTGCAGTTTTGGAAAAATCTGAGTCAAAATGGCGGACAAAGGTGGCCAGTGTCTTCCCGGCATCCCATCCCCCTCCTCAAATAGTGAAATCTCGTTGAGCTTTGCACAATAGATTGTTGTAGTCCTCATATTTTAGTAAATTTGAAAGCCCTCTAACAATTGCCCTCAGATTGTAAAACTGTAACGGCAGATCACCCAAACCACTTGATTTTTCAACGCTCAACAATATTTACTCCGCGTCAGCCAACGGTAAGTAATTTTGAACGGTTAGTGATAATTACAGGAACCAAATGTGCCATTCATCATGCCATTAATGTATAACTCACGGCGTTGGTAAACTGGATGCACTTGAGCATCCCGAACTCTTCAAGTTCAAGTCTAGTTTTTGCAGTAAATAGCGATACCTGAAGGTTGCCAATAGATGGGGCTGTTGTCTAAAGTAAAGTTTTGTCAAAGCTGTGTCTGCTTAGGGCTAGTAAGTTTTTAGGTTGAGTCACTGTTATAAACATGTGGCCTTAAACGGTTATCTCATGTTCTGCCCGTTCAATGGGCAGTAAACATGCTCAACAAAGTATCAATATGATATCTCCTAACTTTTCTTAAACTTGTGTGCACTTTATTTACAATTGTTTATTAACAATTGCTGCATTGTCATGCTTACTGTATGATAGCATACATCTATCTGTCTATCTGTCTGTCTGTCTGTTGCACAAAGTTGCACATTCTAAAAAAGTATGGATAAGTTTTCATGTTCATGTCTATTTACAGGATGTGTTTGTGAGAATCTTTCACCCTTCAGTGTTTTCTCAAATGACATCTTAAAGTCTGAGACCTTGCGTACACAAGAAATTAGAGTTGTAAAGACCTGCAATGTCAGTGTAGATTGACAAACAGTGAAACCTTCTCCTTCCTAACCTTGTTTCTGTCAGAGTTATCATACTTTTAGAGAGTGTTGGTGTTGCTGTCTAGCCAATCTCTTTGACCTTTTTACTATTGTCCTTCAAATCTCCCCTCATTACCAAGGAAATGTGTCTGCGTCTGGTTGTGTGTGTGAGGCACAGTGAATAGTAATCAACACTGTCAATGGCTTCCTGACTAATTAGTGGTGTGTTTGAGAAAATCATAGAGAGTGTTTTTGTTTTTTTGTTAATAGCTAGTTTGGTTCTTGATCTCAATCTATTTTAACGGTTTTTCTTCCTTACATGTTCTTTTTATGGGAGTTCTGTAGCTCAGTTTCATATTGAGGGAGGCATGTATTGATTATATGTTGGTTAGTTAAGTAGGTTGCCTGGTCTTCATGCCTTCAGGCTGTTCAAATACACACACTTAACCGAAATAAACCACTCAGAATATTAAATGTCCAGCTTTAATTAAAAATGGAAGGCAAGTTGAAAGAAAGATGGACGCGAATGTGTTTATTTTTTTTTATTTACAGCATGTCTAGTCTTTAACATGCCAGAATAAAAGTCTATAATAATGATTAATTACACAACTGCAAGGCTTTACAACAGCAATCAATCTACAAGTCAAATATTTAGAAGCAAATTTTCTTACACTTTATATTGATATGGACACACATGTGAATCACATACATTGCTGATAAATGCACACACACACACACACACACACACACACACACACACACACACACACACACACACACACACACACACACAGAGAAACGGGATGTCTTCAGATTACAGATGGATCAGGTCACTTTAAATGTTTAGTCCACTAACTAAATTGATTTATAATTATCATTTATAATTTCACAATAATCTCAAAGTTCCTCCACTGTGTACACTTAGTAGACATAAAGGCTAAAACGTACAGTTTCCATGCCATGAAATGCATACAGCCTTTTCCAAGTGATGCACACACATACATATGGTGCAGAGGGAGAATGGTGATCCAGTAAAATGCAACAAGATAATTCTGGGTAATCCTTAAAGGTAGTTTTCTTTTTAACCTAATGGATGAACTTTGCACACAACATAATGTAATGGTGTTAATTGGAAAAAGCCTGACACTGTGATTCAGGGAATTTACATAAAAAATATCAATTAAATAATCATTCTGTTCACCATTGGTGGGCAAAAAAAAAAAAGACTCTCAAGGTAATTGCCTTAAAAGTAGCAAATACACCATGATCAGACCAAGATGACTGTTAGCAATACAAGTCAATACAAAGCATCTATAACTTGATTAAAGTAACATGAAATCAAATTTGAATAAATTATATTTATTCTTAATTCACATTCAGTGTTATTGTGATCAATTAATCTGTGTACATTATTCAAAAAAAAAGTTTTATTAAAAACGTAATAATTTGCTTCACCTCCAAAATAAGCTTAGTAGTCTGTTTTTTCTTATGAAGAACAATTTTTTTTGCGGTATGTAGTTCGAGTTAGTTACACTGATTTTTTTTTATTTGTATTTTTTTTCTTTTTCAAGCTGTTAAGAATTGTTTTCAGAGAATGTTTGTTGTCTTAATACTTTGGCAGTTTTTTTTGTATTTAAATTTATTGAGGCTTATGCTTAAAACAATTTTTTTATGGAAGTAGACAAAATTTAGATTGTGCACTAAGACAGACCACATTTTACAGTCCAGTCAATTGCCAGTGGATAAAATCAAGTCCCAGCATATGTTTTTTCTCTTTAAATATCCTGTTTCACTTTGAATTACATCATATATGAAAATAAAATGGGTTACTAATGCTGTTGACTTTGTCACTATAATCAGAAAGTATACTATCAGTTTTGAAGTTCATTTGACATTTTTTTCTCTCTTGGCATTATATCATGTTGTATCGCTTGTATCAGATGTTGTTGTCTATCAGTTGGCCTGATGTGATGGTGTTAAATATGTGATAATATATTTATATTTTTGAATGTTTGTGTATTTGTTAGTCGGGGTAGATGAGAAAGCCGCTGAATGTGCTGTATTTGTTGGTGTTTCCTCCATGCACTTTTCCGCCATCCAGCTGCACGCATACTTCATCTCCCACGTCTAAATGCAGGATCACACTGTTAGAGGCGTAGTCATAATTCTGATCGGCGTCCTGAGCAATCGCACTGGCCCTTACCTATGAGATGGAATGAGAGAGAAAAAATGGTTTGAATGTTTATTAAAAGGAAGAGTACATTATAATAATCAGGGGAGAAAGAGTAGATAAGTGTTCAGTGAATAACAGCTTGAATTCTTTTAAATATTATATCTGTCTGCTTCTACCCATTGTCAGTACGCAGATGCCTTTAAATCCTTTAACCTCACTAGAAACTGGCAATCTTTCTCTCTCTAACAGTCTTTCCCTCATGTCTTATGAGTTCTCATCTCCTCCCTAAGTAGGCTATGGGATACATAGAACAGAGAGAGAACAAAAGACCAAGACAGACCAAGGTCCGAGGGAATAAGGCTTATTGATCTGTGTGTTGCATGTGTGTGGTGTGTAATTCATTGGAAAGGCTGTTAAACACAACAATGTACCAATGTAACAACAATGTAACAATGTACAAATTTGTTCAATTGTTAAACTCATATAATACCATTTCTTCTGCATATATCAAGCTTTAGCAATATTAAATTACTTAGTCATGCCAACCAAGCTATTTGAAGAAAAAAAAACACATGTGGTACAAGATAAAGAACTAACATTTAATTATTTTTTGAACATCAGCATTAAAATAAACACATCTGTCTCAAACAATTCAGGTCACAACACTGATTTATGTCTATACAGCTTCAACCAAAGCCTAATTTTTGCACTGCTAATTAATGCATGATCTTAGTATATGTAAGAATCAAAGCATAATTAATGCTTCCAGTCCTGTGTATAATTAATGAGTATAACTCAAATGTATTTAATTATCACTGCTTACCATCCAAGGTCTGCTACCATCAAATAATCTATAAGATATTTATATATTTTTTAAATTCTACATTACCCATAATACACACTTTGTACTTTTGAAGCATGTTTTCCCAATATATTTCAGTCGCGTCTCCAAGTGATCGACATTTTCTTGAGTTGCGCTTAATTCTTCTCACATCTACTCATTAATTATCCCTGTCTTCCCCTCATCTTTCTATTCCCAGCACCTCTTCCCCCACATCTGTTCAGTCCTTGCACAATCTATCCATCTTTTTCTGCTGGAATCGTAATAAAATGCAGGTCACGCGCGTGTCTCCACAGCGCGTCTCGTGTTGGCGCTTGTCCCTGTCCAGTCTAAATCGGATTGATTAACGGTGCGAGGTGGCAGCTCCCGCGGGAGGCCTGGGGCTGCGTCGGGGCCTCGCTGGCTCGGTAATTGCCTGGCGCAGTGGCTCGGCTGTTGCTCCTAATGGGGCCCACTCCTCAATAACTCCACTGTATCACAATAAACGGAGCCTCGTACGACCACCGGTCAAATGGAGTCACCAAGTATTAACTGTGTGTGTGTGAAATAGAGAGACTTAGCTAGCTAGCATGTGCATTGTGTTGCTTCCCCCCCAGTGATTTCAACGACCCGTTATCAGATTAAATAGCAGGTCTTTGGTTTAAACTATACAGACAGTTTCTGACAGAAACAGCATGATGATAATGCAAACATATTCGTTAAATAAATTCAAGAACCAAATATGCTCAGAAAAACATCCAATTGTCAGAAGTGAAAATAATACACAGAAATACACACAAATTATTGGTGGTGAACCTAATTTATGTCATTTGGTTGTAGACGTAATTTATTTTAGTTGACTTTTATGAAAGCCGATAAAATAAACTACACATGGCACAGGGCTTTCTGCTGCTTTTAAATCCATTTTCATTTTTTTCAAGAGTGTATTTATTTTTAAAATTATGTTACTTTGGATTTTATTTGTTTGGCAATCCA